ATTGCCTATATCAATCAAACATACTGCTTTTGTTAGAAAATCAACAAGTGATTTGATTTGACTAGCTGAGATTTTCCTAGAAAGATTCCAGGGCTAATTTTACAATATTTAGCTATGAATATTTCTCTCATTTACCACAGCTTTGAGGAAGTATATCAAATGGGGGTGTGAATTTGACAAAATGATCTTAAATAAGCACTACCTGTAGCACACAAGGTTGTGGTTTATTGTCCCAACTGAATACTCTTAATCAAAGATTTAGGAAAGGAGAGAACTTACATTATAATTTTGAGCATCTTGCTCATAACACTGTCTCATTTTCTCACTAAGCATTTCTTCAGCTTTTGATGCAGCGTCCAAACTTCCACCAGATATAGTGATGACACGGTCAACATAATAGGCATTCATATCAGACATACCATAATCATAATCTGACAGACTGTAACAAATATAATCAATAAGACCACATTTCTAACATATATTATAAAAGCCATTGAAAAAAGTTTTCAACACCTATGTATCTTCGTACTGATACCATCAATTTTCACCATTCCGATTTTTAGTTAGTCATCTGTATTTCTTGTAATTCCACTATTACTAAGCAGTTTATAAAATATCTATTGCAAAAGCTGATAACAAAATATTATAAGAAACACTGCCATATACATTAAGGCCGACACACAAAATTCATCAGCTCAGCCATTTGTCTCGCGTGCTGATTGTCTCAGCCATATGGTTTCACTACAGACTAAACTGAACAGGTCATGTAACTAATCACGTGATTGCTAGCACTTTGTATTGTTTTACCTGTTTAAAAATTCAGTGAAAAGAAGAGCAGGGTGTGTTTTCAAATTTGATTAGAGAATTGATCATAGTAATTATTAAATATTTAGAACATATCAGGATACGGAAAGTCTGACCACAATTCAATCTCTCAATTCTTTAGATTTTAGTTACATGTGGCGATTGGCTGAGCTGTTGACTCACACGTGTGCCAAACTAAATATTAATTTTGAGAATATGGTCCAAGTGATAACAAAATGTAAACACACAAACCTTGATACAACTATATGTGTTCCAGATTTTTCCATAAACTGTTTAATAACATTGCCTTTTTTACCAATAATTCTTCCACAAATATGATTAGGACATAGCACTTTCATTGGGTTTTCACTAAAAAATTAATGCTTTCAATTTATTAAAAGCTGCTTAATTTCTATCAAATTACTCAAGAATACATTTAACAAAATATTGATATTCAGCATAAGGCCAAGAAAACAAAATTGTCATCAACATTTATGTTATCTTATATAATTCAAAAGTTGCATATATAAGCAAATTGTTCATGTGGAAATCAGACTAGAATAAAATCGCTTCAAGGTTTCCGATCATTGTGTTTGACTACAATCAGAAGTCTGAGAGCCTCACACTATACCTCGGCCTTTCATGTCATCATTTTTCACACACTATACCTCAGCCTTTTATGTCATCATTTTTCACACACTATACCTCAGCCTTTTATGTCATCATTTTTCACACACTATACCTCAGCCTTTTATGTCATCATTTTTCACACACTATACCTCAGCCTTTTATGTCATCATTTTTCACACACTATACCTCAGCCTTTTATGTCATCATTTTTCACACACTATACCTCAGCCTTTTATGTCATCATTTTTCACACACTATACCTCAGCCTTTTATGTCATTATTTATCACACACAAAAACTCAGCCTTTTACACACTATACCTTGGTATTTCATGTTCAAGCACTAGTCATTCTTATTCAAGGATAAATAGCCAAGCAAAAACTTAATGCAGCAAACAAAGGCAAATTTGCTATAAAGTGGAAATCAGACTAGAATAAATTGGCTTCAAGGTTTCCGATCATTGTGTTTGATTACAATCAGAAATCTGAGAGCCTCACACTATACCTCGGCCTTTCATGTCATCATTTTTCACCCAACAATAAGAAAATAATCCAAACTTACCCTTTATTGAGGGCTGCTGCTTCTTGTTGTACGACTTTCATAATTTCTTTACATGCTTTTGAACAACTTTCAGTATTTCCTTTTATAGTTACAAGCTAAAGAGGGAGAAAATATCTTTCATTTAACATGCAGTTAGAATCAAAGGTGTAGACGTAGACAATTGTGTGAGTGGTAGAAATCAAATTCAGAAATGAATGTTTTACGTCCTGTTTTTCTGCACCTACTTGACCTGATGAAGTTGATCAACACCATGTAGTGTGCAGAGAGGTAAATTTGTCAGCACAACCCCCCCATGTCATTTTTCATGTCAGCCAATCCAACTAATATCTCTGACAATGGGAAACTGGGTTGAGGTATTATCTCGCCCTATGTTGGAATTGAACAATTGTCTAGAAAGGGTTAAAGGTAAAGAAGAAAATGATCCTACTGTTTCTGGAGCATGGTTATCCCGTCTGTGTATATCAACTCTAGCACGACTTTGTGATGTGATGTTTCGAATTGTCTGCCCTTGTTTACCTATAATAGCTCCCACATAATCACTACCAACTATTATTCTAAAATAAAAAATATAATACACATAACCTGACAGCTGATATATTGACCACATTTCTAAGTATTTCTTAATGAATTCTTGTACTAAAGAAGCTTGTAAATGTAGCCATTTTTGACTGGATAGATATTTCATGTGGCAGCTTAAATTTTGCAAAAGTGACAACAAACTCTTAGTTTGAGTGGAATTGTAGGACAACTTAAAACTTGAATTTTTGTAAATTGATGCTATCGTGGCCTCGATGCACATAAGAACCAAAAATTTGCTGAAATTCAACGTAATAGACTGCTACGATAAAAGTTTATTTGAATTTATTAAATTTTTTCAGAAAATTAATGATTAGTTTAATTCCAAACCTTAATGGTAGATCCTGACGGGTCATCCCTGAGTTACCGTTATTAGATCTTGGCCTTCGAGCTCCATTATTTACAAAAAATGCCTTAAATACATGAATATCACAAAGGGTTAAGATTCTAAGTCCTACAGAAAAGAAAGAAAGGAAAGATAAGAGGAAAACAGATGAAAAGGTTGAAATACAAGTTCTATTTTTCATTTGGATGTCAAACCCTTTAAAGTGTGTTCACAATGAAAGTCCAGGCTGCATATTCTCAAAATGATCTCTGCGCTAGTTTACCAGGGGTCAAAACTTCTAACACTGTTTCTTCTAAATCAAATTATATGCTGCTTCAGTTAACAAGAAGCTTGAAATAATCATAATGGATTTCAAATTTGAAAAAAACAGTTTTTCCTTTCACACTTGCAAGTTCCATGGACACTTTAATATCTATGTTTCATAGAACATCTTAAGATAGCTTGCCAGGCAAGCCACTGGCAGCTTTGATTTCAAATAAAAACATTTGGCAGTACAGTAACAATCACCAGTATGAAATATTCAACCTTCAGTCATACACTTCTTTTGAACTTTTTGAGGTGATACTGAATAATATTACCAAGTTTCATCAAAATCCGTCAAGAAATGTGCCTTCTGGAGTGTATATGTGCTAAAAATTGAACACGATTTCAAGAACAAGGGCAATAACTTATAAATATTTTTCGATTCTTCTGATTTTCAATGGAATCACTCATGCCAAGTTTTGTCAACATCTGTCAAGATCTGTGCCTTCTGGAGTGTTTACGAGCTAAAAATTAAACGCGTTTTCAAGATCATGGGCAATAACTCATACTAAATATTTTTTGATTTTTCTGATTTTTATTTGGATTTATCCTTGGGCTATAACAAACACTAATACCAAGTTTCGTCAAAATCCGTCAAGAATTATGCCTTCTAGAGTGTTTACGAGCTAAAAATTGAAAGCGTTTTCAAGAACATGGGCAATAACTCATACTAAACATTTTTCGATTCTTCTGATTTTCAATAGGCTTTATCATTAGGTGATTATAAACACTCACACCAGGTTTTAACAAAATCCATCGAGAATTGTGCCTTCTAGAGAGATTACGACCTAGAAATTGAACGCGTTTCAAAGAACAAGGGCAATAACTCATACTAAATTTTTTTCGATTCTTCTGATTTTGAATAGGGTTCATCCTTGGGTTATTACGAACACTCACACCAGGTTTTGTCAAAATTCGTCAAGAATTATGCCTTCTAGAGTGTTTACGAGCAATTGTGGGCGGATGGACGGACCGACATGGGTGACGGCAATATACGCCCCCCCCCCCCCCCCCCATTTCATGTGGGCATATAATAAAAAGGTATCAGCAAAATCTGCTACAGTCATGTTGTAATCAAAGATTTTTAATTCTAAAGGGATTGTAAAGAGGTTTTATATGCATTTTATGTGTATAGGACACTTATAACTAGGAATTTGCTATCTAAATTTACTTTTTTCTATGATTCTCGCAATTCCACTAGAAGTAAAGCTTCATGGCTTCAGTATCTGCAAAATCTATTGAAATAAAAGAACCTTTGCAATAGTGACATCATAAAATGCTCAGTATTAGTGGAATTGCAAGAACCACAAACATCAGATTGAAAATTCAATCAATACCATCAGTGTCTCGGATACACAAAAACCTTTTAGAAAACCTCTTTGCAATCTCCAGTTTACTACAGAAATCTCCAGTTTACTACAGAAATACAATAGATAAATGATCTCACCTTTATAACAGAACCATCATAATCTAAACTATTTAAAGCAGTTACAGCACTAAAATACAAAACAAGTTTTCCTTTTACTAAACAGGGTGCTTAAAAAAACCTCATGAATATAAGAAACTGTGTCATGATTTCATTTTTATATATCGGTATAATTTTCATCCAAATATTTCAATAGAAACAGAATCGTATCGTTGGATGAGATCATTTAATGTATCTCATTTGACTTCTAGAATTGTTGCAGCCCTACTCCTAGGACAAGGTTGGTTATAAACTAAATAAATTCCCAACAGAAAGATTGTAAATAATTGCATCTCTGCTTTGTTTTCGAAATGACTATTTTTTTTTTTTTTTTGTCTACTTCTGGTCACGCTCCCCAGCCAAAACTGCACATACCACAGATTATCTGACATCATTATCTCTTATACTTAACGTGTCGCTATTGTTTAAATGTAAAATGACGCATCTTCGCCCAACCGGAAATGACGTAGGACTTTAACCGTTCATTACGTCTTTCCAATACCTGCTATTATTCTGAATCTATTTTGAACATAATTTTTGTTTTGTTCATTACTTTAAACTAATGTCTAAAAGATAGCAATTTAAGAATTTTCAAATTTTGACTTTTGTCGCTGACTTTTGGAAAATTTATTTAAAGCATTTTTTAAACTTCCTCAATTTTATTGCGATCGATCTGAAAATTTACATGTAGATAAACATTTTGATTGCGAACAAAAATATGCTTTCAAAATTTAGATATCACTTCCGGTTTTGACGTCATTCGCCTCCAAACTTCAAATTTCAACTTCCGGAATTTTGTAGATATTTGAAAAATTCTTTTTGTAATTAGTTATAATTGTCCCCGTAAAGATTTTGGAATGACAAAATTTCACCCGGAAGTATTGTGTAAGACGCCATCTTGATATGACTCATTTTTGTAAAACTCAAAATGGGGCCTCAGGGTAAAATTGGATGTTCGAAAATTTGAGGTTTAAGTAAACTGCAATCGATTGCTAACAAAACATGGGAAGCCGATTTTTGAATTTAGGCTTTGTATTTTTTTTATTTCCGGTTTTATGTTTTCAGTAATTGTCAAAACTATTAAGGCTCATATCTAGTGACTTTGACCTTTGGTGACCTTGTGACCTGAACATAAGTTGTTGCCTCTTACGAGATCTATCCGATTATATCTCCACTTTTGTTGTATATCGTTAACTTCCGGTTCTACAGCCATTGAAAAATCGCGATTTTTAACTTTGAAGAGCTCTGTCACGTGACCTAATTAACATACGACAAAAATTCTTATATATTCTTTGAGTGCATGAAATCTCCTTTTTGGTGATATATCACACTTGATATTTTGATCAAAATTGCGCGTTTTAAAAATTGAAAATTTTGTACTGACTTCTATAGTAACTGTGCGTAAATTCACGGTGTCTATAATCTACCGACAGTCACCGTTGCTTTAAAAAAAACTTTTAACTACGAATATCTCATGATCTAATGATTGTAAAGACTTGAAATTTTGAACATTATTTAACAATGTACACATCATCACAGACAAATTGAAATTTTTGAAGTAGGCGTGGCACATCCGGTGTGCATTTACCGTTACCTGAAATATTTGCATTTGTTACAACTCGCATAGTTTGCAATTGTCATCCTAGAAATTTTGCATGAAAGTAGATCACTGCTTAGGACAATTTGTGATAAGATTACAGTTGTTTGCGTTCTTTACTTTAAAAAAGGGAATAGGTTTAACAATTTTAAAAAATTTTCATTTTTGATCTTTAACATAAATGACCTTGACCTTTGCATGGTCAAAGGTCATTGACTTAGGATGACTGTTCTTACTTTGATCTTTGATGTCCGATATATACTTCCGGTTTTGCAGACGTCTAAAAACAGCAATTTTCGAAACTTCAATGGCTCATATTACTTTTATTTGACATTTGCTGACCTTTTGACCTGAACAAAAGTTGTTGCCCCTTACGAGATATATCCGATAATATCTTCACTTTTGTTGTGTATCGTTAACTTCCGGTTCTACAGCAATTCGAAAATCGCGATTTTTAACTTTGAAGAGCTCTGTCACGTGACCTAATTAACCTATAACAAAATTTCTTAGTTATTTTTAGAGTGCACGATATATCACACTTGATATTTTGATCAAAATTGCGCGTTTTAAAAATTGAAAATTTTGTACTGACTTCTATAGTAACTGTGCGTAAAATCACGGTGTCTATAATTTACCGACAGTCACCGTTGCCCTAAAAAAAACTTTTAACTACGAATATCTCATGATCTAATGATTGTAAAGACTTGAAATTATTTAAAAATGTAGACATCATCACAGACAAATTAAAAATTTTGAAGTGGGCGTGGCACATCCAGTGGGCATTTACCTTTACCTGAAATATTTGCAATTTGTAATTGTCATCCTAGAAATTTTGCATGAAAGTGGATCACTGCTTAGGACAATTTGTGATAAGATTACAGTTGTTTGCGTTCTTTACTTTAAAAAAGGGAACAGGTTTAAAAATTTCAAAAAATTTTATTTTTGAACTTTAACGTAAATGACCATGACCTTTGCATGGTCAAAGGTCATTGATCTAAGATGACCATTCTTACTTTGATTTTTGATGTGCAACATATACTTTTGGTTTTACAGACATCCGAAAACAGCAATTTTCGAAATTTCAAAGGCTATTACTTTTATTTAACCTTTGTTGACCTTTTGACCCGAACAAAGGTCCCACTACGAGATATATCCGGTAATATTTTCACTTTTGTCGAGCTCCGTTAACTTTCGGTTCTACAGCCAATTGAAAATCGCGATTTTTAACTTTAAAAAAAGGTCTATCACGTGACCTAATTTACATAAGCGAAAATTTATCTTTTGTCCTTGAATTTGAAAATTTTGTATTGACTTCTATAGTAACTTTGCGTAATTTTAACAGTTTCTATAATCCACCGACAGTCACCGTTGCCTTAAAAAAACTTTTAACTACGAATATCTCATGATCTAATGATTATAAACACTTGAAATTTTGAACATTATTTGACATTGTACACAATTATTACAGACAACACAAAATTTATGCAGTGGGCGTGGCAAATCCAGGTTACTTTTACCTTTACCATAAATAATTCAAATTGTTAAACTCGAAAAGTTTGCATTTTTCACCATCGAAATTTTACAAAAAATTAAAGCACTATTTGGGACAATATCTGATAGAGTTACATTTTGTTTAGGCCTTTTACTTTAAAAAGGGAATAGGATTTAAAATTGATAAAATTTTGATATTTTGACCATTTACATGCATAATCTTGGTATTTAGAAGGTCAAAGGTTATTGATCTACGATGTCCATTCATACTTTTATCTTTGATGTCCGACATATATTTTCGCTTTTACAAACGTCCCAAAACAGCAATTTTCAACACTTTTAAGGCTTATATTCTCTTTTATTTTACCTCTGTTGACCTCTTGGCCGAAACACAAATTATTGTACCTTTCCAAAAATATTTTCATTTTTGTTGTGCGAATTGAACTTTTAACTTTACAGCTATTTGAAAATTCGACTTTTTACTACCGAATGTTAACACCTTTTAGTACCGAATGGTATCAAATTCATGCGTCTTTTCACTACCGAACGGTAAACGGTTTAAACGATTTTTTTCTACTATTGAAGGTTTACATGCTTTTCTTTCCGGTAAGAAATCCCATTGTGACTTTAAAATGCAACGTTTTATCGATGTATCAGGTTGGATGCGCACTGCTTGGTACCGTTATAACGGTTCTAGTTTTTTCATGTAATCCATTGGTAAATGAATTTCAATTTTGCTTTAAAAGAACGATTGTTATATAACTATGTAAAGGGCATGAGAAGCACATTAGGAAACCGAAAAAAATTAACCCTCTACGTTAATTAGATCACCTGCTACAGCAGTCCAAAGTTGCAAATTTGGCTTTTTAAGGATAGCTATAAAACCGGAAGTACATGTCGGAGGTCAAAGTATCAAATGATAGCCAAGGTCAATGGCCTTTGACCCTGTGAAGGTCAAGGTCATCAATGGTCAAGGTCACATGGTGTGGGTGTTTCAAATTGGAAAAAAAAATAACCGGAAGTTGCAAATAAGCAAAAGCGAAATTCAAAATTTTTTGCGCAATCAATTGCGGACTACATTCACACCAAATTTGAGCATATCAACCTTTACCCTGAGGCCCCATTTTGAGTTTTACAAAAGTTTTTTTTTTCAATATGGCGGATAAAGTATCACTTCCGGTCTGGATTTTATTTTAAAAACAGCCACAAAATTTTATTTGCCAAATATCAGCTAAATTTTGTTGAACTACATAAATTACACCGGAAGTTATTCAACCGGAAGTAGATTTGAAGTTCAGTCGCTTTCCTGTTTAAAATGGGAAATGACGTACAAAATTTGACTGTATCATATTATTAACATTAGTGAAGTCTCTTTGCATCTAAAATTTCAGATCAATCGATGCAAAAGCAAAAAAGTTGCAAAAAAAATCGAAAAATTTGATCGAAAAAAGTGAGCCACGAATTTTTGAATTTCATAATTTTTCAAGTGCTATCAGGTCAGAAATTACAGGTTGATTGTAAAAATGAAAACCCGAAGAAAATCGATCCAAAAATACGCCCTCTCTGTGGCACTTCGGTTTTGTAAAAATGTCCCAATATATATTTAAGGAACACGTCGCCACTACAGAAGGTCTAGAGAAGTTGAATGGTTGCTGCAACTACTGTAGGCTAAGCTCAGGAAGGTGTGTAAATTTCGAAAAAAAAAAAAAAAAAAAAGAATGGACATTCGATAACAAACTGGGACTTTGCTAAAAGTAAAGTCCCACAATTATACTTCTATGATACAATAATAACTCAAGAAATTAAGAAATTTGTAATTTGTAATCCAGCCCAAGTGGCTATTGCAGTCAATGTATAAGAAGCAATTTGTAACAGCTTGATATTATGAAGATGACCATCCTGATGTTTGTAAATTACAAAACAAAAAGATGCCCTGATGTTGGTTGAAGTTAAGTCACAATGTTATACGAATCAATGTAGATAAAATGTAACTCACTCTTGAGCTTGTTCTGGAGTTTCAAATGTTACAAATACTGCTCCTTCAGGCCCTGAAATATACCACCAATAACATTATCAGTATACTTAATACAAACCAATGAAAGATTCCATACATCAATTTTTGATTAAACACTCTTTATATGGTGTCAACAACAGAAAAACCTTTACATCAATGAACTTTTGACCCATATACACTGCATACTGAACCATCTTCATTTACTTTCATTGACTGATTCATGTGATAGCTA